TTAACATGTACTTACTAAATACAATATTTTTTTAAACAGATGTAGTCATGTATAAGTGCTTTTCCTCTTAGACTAGGTAATTCCTCTACATCCATCGGACAAAAACCTTATGTAGGAACTTCCTAACCCTACGATAATCAACCATACGTCTATCGGTAATAACCGCAAGAAATGGGTTACTTTCTCCATTCCACACGAATTCAACTCACTGTAGAATGCCACCCAATCGCACCCCTCCACGGTTCATGACGCCAACCTGACGTTTTACAGTCGAGTGGACCGCCCCATGAGTAGCAGCGGTCTTCTTCTGTTTCTCGACATAGCCGAACGGGTACTAGTCTGGCATGAATATGCCTACATCCTTAGAGCTATTCGCAGTAGCGAGATACATCAACCCAGCTCGCACGCATGTGGAATTCAACCACGAGGACCACGAAACTCCAGTACGAGAACCCCTTCCAAGTCTCCCCCCACGAATCGCGTACTTGTTTACGGTCATATTTTTCACTGCAAACGAAAACATCACCTGCATGAATACACAACAATTGCATCAATTTTTAGTTAGTACTATTCATTCCGGACTCGTACTGGAGCATACCGAACGGTTTCTACTTACCTTCGGAAGAGAGACACAGTCATCAAATGGGCCAGAAATGTCGCCTGTGGGTATCATAGATGCGTTAACCCACTCTCAAATCTCCTCTAATTCTCCATCGCCGTTCTTGCGTCGATAGCCAGCACCATGATTCGGAGCTGATGGACTGTAGCGTACCCGTAGTCACCCCAACAGGCAAGATAGATGCCTTGACCTTCGTCGAATTCTTCTCGCATGAAGTTGTCTGAGATTGCAGCCGGGCATGTTTTACGGGGAAACAGAGAAGTGTGTTGTAGGATAGATCGACCCATGTTCGTTCGCTTGTCAGTATGAGGTTGGTGGATTTCCACTTCCTTCAACGGCTGGAGATCGATCTACCGAGCACCGATTTGTGGAATTCGTCTCTCGTTCTTAGCAGCAATCGAGTAGCAGTATTGTTTAGAAAGAATCAGTACAACTTTGCCCAATTGTGTTGGAGGTGCTCTCAATTTTTCAAGAGCAACTTGGCACAGCCCTTCACTCGCTGTAGGCTCTATACCTTCTTGGCCTTACCAATCTTGCGCCTAGCTGCCTGCGTTTTCTTGGCAGCTTTGGAGAAGCGAATATATTTTAACCCAGAAAATGCGGGTTGTTTCTCAGCTTCGCTGTCTACTTTTTCTGATTTGGTCAGTCTGCGCACATGTGGATGTATGTCGCTGTATGGGGATGTGTGTGTGTTTTGTTTTTGCTCCAGCGTACGTCAAGCTGTCGATCACAGCCATGACGTCCATCAGATTTCGAAATTAACCTACTTGGCAAATCCTGCCGACGGCCTCGAGAAAACTGCATGTCGTCTTGAAACTGTCCGTCATGGTGCTGCTTTATAGCTGTTTGTACAGCCTTCCTCCTGTCTGTGCTGTACTGATGGTCTCGAGATAATGGTCTTCTCATCTGAGTAGTTCTCCCGCCCAATCGACGTCCCCCCTCCCCAGTATTATCAAGACCTCCGGGAGAGATCACCGGGGCCAATAGGGATCAGCGCGATGTGTAGAATTTCGGGGGGGGGGTCGTCGATTCCCAGAACTGTGAGAATATATCACATGGCGGCATAGCAAGAGCGCCTTCATGAAGCCGCACGGGCACTGGAATATCTACAGAACACAGTCGGAAACAGATTGTAAGTTATTGGTGGAAATTGTACCGGACACACAAACTCAAACAAGCAACTCACCGACGTATCAATAAAATGACGGACGGTCTCTTCTCTATCGGACTTCAGCTCCGCTTCCACTCCAGCGATCTTTATCGCGCGATTAGCTTCAGGGCAGCTAGCAAACTTGTATTGCTCCCGGGCCTAGACAGCGCACCCAATTGCACGGCCAGTGTGAGAAGTTCTGGATCCGCCAAATTTTGCGCAATTGGCGGCTGCCGAGTCCACAAGCTCCGAAACCCTTTCATATAACGCTCTTCCGACCATTCTTGCAGCACCCCTAGGGTAGTAACAAGGATCCACACGCTCGACGCTACCGTTTTATCTTGCCCCAGCCATTCTCAATGCGAGTGTTGGTATGGTTATTCAAATGAGACTAGTTGTTGCAATAGTATGCGACCCAGTTCCCTTCGATGCCTCTCAGTTTGCTTCGAAATACAAGAAGAACGGGCCCTTCTTGTTGGATCCAAGTGATCTGAACTTGTCCTCGCTGAACGCTTTGTTTATCTTGGCACTCTCAGCTTTCATCACTAGCTGCGGAACTGCACAGATATCCTTCTTGGCTTCTGAACCGCGTTGGCATCTGCTTCCAACCTGTAGTCGCATGGCAATTATCCGTTAGTAAGTTTACTTGAGATACTAATAGTAGAAGCAACAACTAACCTGGCTTCGGAGGTAGTCAATTACATGGAACTGACAAAGCATTTCACGAGCTTGTGGTAATGCATCAATCAGCATATCCCAATCTTTGAAGTCTTTGCCTGTCACAACACCACGGATGTCCTCCGTAGCCGGGTTCTTGTCTTAAGTTCTTCCAAGTAGAACACCAAGTTCTCTTTCGTCTTGCTCTCCCCGAGAGAGTGCTGAACGTTCTGGCCCTTCAATTTTGTAGTAAATACCATGATAGCTAGGTTTTGTCTTGCCTGATGCCCAAACCAAATCTGTACAACTGGACCCACCTTACCAAAATCGTCGTCAACAAGAATACTGAAGAGGTTGTGGTAGGTTTTGTTCGTACCGTGTGTTGTATCCACCAACACCACCTCAAGGGAGGCCACGTCAAGGGAGGTTTTGAAAAGCCGCTTCTGACACGCGGTATGAAAATACACGGCGTGTACAATACTGGATGAGTTGTTCATCGATATGGCGGCCGAATTACCGTCCGTCTACTCGCGCATTAGTTTTACGGTGCACTCTTTGTCTGTCTTGCCCTCTCGCTCCGTGCGCTTCATGAAAGCTAACAGGTTGTGGACGTCTCGCAGATCCTAACATATCAAATACATATAAGCGTTAGTGGTTTTACACACAGACTTGATATTGGTACTCATATACCTGTTTCATGGCGGAGATGCTGCAAAATTCTTGTTGCTGAAGACCGAGACTTATGCATCTTGCTTACGTTTTCGAGTACGTCAAGGTCCGTAATGCACCGAATTTCGGTATAATAGCGGTAAAGCCCTTCCCTCCGGAGATGATTGTTGGATCCACTCCATAGTACAAACACCTTCCATTCTCCTTTCGCGTCACGCTTCGAAAGAGCTTTGACTTTCACACTGCAACCCAAATAGCGAATGATCTTGCGTTGTCGCTTCCCCTTGCTTTTCTTGGGATGTTCAATGCCATGCGTACACACCTGTGTCAAGGAAGAGGACGGAAATGCATCTGAAACCAAACTGTAATATTTGCGAGAGGCCCCCCTTTCAATTAGCTTCTTGTTTCGTAGCCATGTGCTGTATGACGTCCTTTAGATAGGTGTCGCCCTGTCTTCTCCGTGTGGGTGGCCAAAGTAGAAAAAAAAAAACAGTCGAAGACACTTTGAGACCCGTCCATGAATGCCCCTTCATACTCTACAATATGACCTCTTGAGGCTTCCAGTACCTCAATAGCTCCATCTTCCCCCAAATCATGCTGCCATGTAGTAATTTGCACAGGAGACGTCGCTGGACCATCCGGCTTGAATGTTTCTGGTTTCTTTCCCGGATCCGGTATTAATGCTGGATGTTTCATCTCTAACTCCGAGTTTTCAGCGTCCGGCACCACTCCTCCCTCAACCACACCGAATTTGGTAATGTCCGGTACGGGATCTTGTGACTCCACCTAGCCATCACTGCCAACACTTGACAAGTCAGCCTGCTCTGCCGACGGTTCTTTCTGCGCTAATTAGATCGACGCTATATCATTCTCTTCATCTGCATAACTTACTTTCTCGTATTCGTCACCGTCACACTTACACTCTGCCTGCATACACATCTCGACAATGACGAATGCCACGCTATTCTTCCACCGGTTTCAGCCCATGTACCTAGGAAAGTAGGCCAACGTGTACACGGACAGAAGCAAGTTGTCAGTGAGGTCTCACAATGTACGCTATACACAAGCACTCACGGATTATTCCTGGTGCAGCGGCTGGCCTTCCTCTTGTTTCTCCATACCAATCACTGTAGCACGTCAGGATTCATAGTGCAACTGTCAGGTAATGGTACCGGCGCATAGGGCGTATTGGTACACAACTCACACTTTCTGGTACCGTAGTAACATGGATTTATCAACACCCGGATAGTAGCTTGACCGGTATTTGTGGCCCGCAAGCCTCTGCAACCCGCAAGGGTTGCGAAGGCCACCCGTATCAAAACTACCGGTGCGAAAACTACAATAATGGCTATTTTGAAATTTGCGATGGTCAAGAAGAGTGCTGCCCAAGTTGCTGAGGCCGGAGTAGTAGCGTTGCACCGCTTCCCGCCGTCGCTGAAGTACCGTGAGCTTAGTCAAGGGGCTCTCCTGTCTGAATGGTTTGGGCATCCAACTCTTGCATGGGCTCCCGCGGGCCTAGAATCCAATGCGTTGTAGAAGGATACTGTTGTGTGCCCAAGGTAAAAGTATTCGAACAACGCATTGTTGAAGATGTACAAAACCGGACGGTATTGTATTATGCACGTTTTCAGTGCACAGGTTCGACTAAAAGTCATTTTCAACGATTAGTGATACATATCTGGCTTTTCAAAGATGTTGGTACTAAATTTTCTATATTTCTCGCTTAGAAGACAGGTATATAGCTAGATATGTTTGATATCGTATATGATGCGATTGTTTCCAGCAAAGGTGTAGCTGGTGCCGTGGGAAAAATATTGTACGATGACAACAGAAGCGGTATTACGCAATTCGGTCTCGTGTGGGCGTCAAAGTGGAGGAGCTGCGCTTACAGGATGCAGACTACTCTCCTCCACAGCCACCAACAGAGGTTCAGTACATATTCAATCATGGTTGCTGGATGCAGAGGTACTTTAGGAACTTTGGCTAATACACACTAACATTTTGAGTCGCTTGTGTGCAGCGCAGATAACGATACTCAGTGCGATCATGTATTTTGAATGGATCACTCACAGCAATTCTGCAGCAACTCAACAGCTTTGGAGCTGGCGGGAGCAAAGAGCAGTCTGCACGTATTCGAACTCTGTTATGCCGTTGCTCGCACAAAATGAGGTGGGACAGATATTGGGGACAACTCTTACCAACTCTGAAAATCACGAGGAAACGGAACTATTGAAGTGTATGGTAGCTAAAAAGACTACTGAATCCGATGGGTCTCGGGTATGTGTGTGCGACAACGCGAATACCAATAGAAGTCACATTGAAAGAGTTTTTGGTACCGCAGTATTAGTTAAACAAGACCCATTTCATGTTAAAACAAGATTCGACGAGAAAATAATGACAGTCTCAAAAACCCATTGGCTGTCGACGCAGCTCTCCTCAGCGATATACGACGTACAGCAAAATTTTCGGACTCCAGAAGAATGCGAAAGTCGAGTGAAGTCAGTATTAGAAACACTCGACCCCGCCTGCATTTCTGTCAAGCGTTCCGATTGTACGACTGGCAATCCAGTCAACGACGGCGTTGTAAAGCCTGACAAGGACGCGCTGATGCGAAACCTGTTTGTTATGGTCCGTATGCCGTCTCGAAAACATTGTAAACAAGTTTACGTGGTCGTTTATAATTTTGCTGCGACTACATGCAGCGGAATTGAGCCGAAATCACCCAACCTTCTACTTCGTCGATGGGAATGTCGCAAACGTAGCCACAATCGCGTCACGAAAAAGAGCGCTGCCGGCCCAAAAGATACCCCTGAGCTGGATGAATCTGTAACTAAAACCAAGTTTGGCAAAACACTATTGACAGTGGCTCAAGATGCCGTCCTTCCTTCAGAAACCAGCGTCGTAGCAGCTGAATCTAAAGAATAGATCTCCCATACAAGATTCCAGTATTTGTGAAACAAATTGTTCTGCCCATGGTGAAGCAACGCAGAAGATCAACAAAATGCAGGTTCGGATGTCGATCCAACCGTGTGCCCCATCTAAACTGCTACAACGGCAACACTCGACTCGACTACATCGTTTCACTTTCCTCAGACGTCGAAAACGAGCTATGAGGACTGGCAGCAAAATTGGGGAAGGTTGGAAAGGGAAGTGGAAAGCCATACATCAAGAGTACATAAAACACTTTCCGGACTCAAAGATAGGCCAAGATGCTATTAGGATTCGTCTTCGCGAGCAAAAGAGCTCACCGACAGTACATCATTAACTGCCTTCAACAGTGTTGCCCCCTACCTCAATTGAGTCTTTGGAAATGCAGCTGTCTTCAGTATTATCTGTGTTGGCTACAGGTAAACGACCAGTACCGGCAGGCAAGAGCCGTCGACAGAATATAAGAGGATGGGGACCTATTCACACTGCGGAACAACGTGAAGCTCCACAAAACCCAGCACAGCATTACCTCGTTTTTTGTAAACAGAATTGGAATATACACCTTTATTATTTTTTTCATTTATATCTATATTTGCATACCACACGATGAAGCAGCAACACGTTAGCTATCAATATAACTTGCGCGCAGAGATCAAAAACACGTAATCTTACCAAATCAGACGCTGTCAACCCCGTTAGTGTCCTCGACACTCAATAGGCTGCTCGAAGCGGCCTAACGGGTGTGTGTGTGCAGAATGGGCTTCCCGAAAGAGCGCTAGGTCTGTAACCTGCTGGTAGAGGCGTTTGTGACGCGTTGTACGTTTAATCTCTTCAGTTGCTTATTATTCATAGATAAAGGCTAGGACCTGGCTGCTGAATATAAGCTGTTGCAGACACACACAGTGAAGGTCAGCTCGCAAATCAACGCAATCAGGTAGCTCACCACTCCACTGCATTCGCTATAGCCTTGTGTCGCTTCCCTTCTGCACTGTAAACAAGAATAATGGGCGTCGTTTGTTGCGGGTTTAATTTTTACTGAGTTAAGTACTAAAAAAAGGATATCGTACGTACGTATACTGGGGCCAATCGGGATTAATACCGGTACAGGGTTGGCGGTCTTGGACGGTTATAGAAGGCCAAGTTGGTCTAAATTGGTCTCGCTACTAGCGTATACCGATCAAGTCCCCCCCCCCCCCCAGTAGAGAGCTTTAGTTATAAAAAGACCGTTTCTATAGTTAAAAAAACAGGAACAACGACATTCTCTAAAAGTACCACAACCCCAACAAATTGCATTAAGGACAAAAATGAAATCAAATTCAATTGCACCTATTGAAGTGTCCTCCAGGCCAATTGCCATTTGAAGTCATGTAATGATTGCTTATCATGTCGTCTTCGTTAACTTTCACGGCGTCGACTTTGCGACCATCGATTCAACTTCATAACGCTAGCCAAAATCTTGTTTTCTGGTTGCTGAGGTCACGGAAGTTCGTCCTTAACTTTAGGGCAAATTGATGTTGCTCGGCTTACCACCTTGATTACTGGCCGCAAGCATAATGATCGTCGACGCTATTTGTTCATTAGGTGAACACTTGGAGCACGTCAATTCAGACGATTCAAAGCTCTGGATCTTTTCTGAACGGTGGGGGTGCTCTGTTTCCACTCAACTTTGTTGAGTTGAGATAGTGCGAGCTCTTGCATGGGTCTGGAAGATTTCTTTCACATTAAAAACCTCGAAACAAGACTCACTACCTCTCCTTCTGTTGTGCGACACACTGAAACTCTACAAGATATCACACTCAAATATCTGTTTGTACCCTTTTGCGTGTGATTGTCATTTTCGTTGTCGTGATTTAACTGCCAATAAAGAAGGCAGTATCTTTGGCGAGCTCGCTCGATTCTGATCTGCTGTTGCAATGTATTGGTTGGATACGACGTTGTGAGCAAATAAAGAGACAAAATTCCGTACATCATGGTGATCATCACGCTTAGGAAGCCAAAGATGAATCCACTCTTTAGAGGACTCATAGTGATTTTGCTTATTGTACGCTAGTGAGAGCTCCAGTGATGGCGAGATCGACTCGTTTACTCTATTCTTTAGCTGATACGAGGCGTCAGACACTTGGTTTTTGTCCTGCCCATTGCGAAGTCGACAAGGATAACTGATATTTTTGAAAGCACAACGGCCGCATCGCGGCAAAAAACAGCAAAACTATGGCGGTTCTGCTTGTGTTTCTGAAACACCTTGTAGAATGTTCAGAATCCTCTTTTCATCAAAATCCGTGTGATTGCAGTAATACTGTTAGAAACGTATGTGGGTGCGAGCGGGTGAACAAAGTCACAAGCAGGCGTAGCCAAATTGTTGCACTAGGTGACGGCCGAAAGTACTTCGACTTGACATTCTTTTGGTATCTTTAATTAACGTCGTGACCCCCCCCCTAAAACGGTTCCATAACGCAATCTAAACTGGCATGACTTGCTTGGCTGGAGGGAGTGGTTTTGCCTTTTGTCGATAAGCTTCACTAATGCCCTCCACACCCCAGGGGTTGTTCTAGTGTGTCGCGGATCTCGCGGCTTGGCTGTTCGTTCGGGCCCGCGAGGTTATAACCTCAGTATCATCGCCTCCATTTCCGCTTATGGATTGGAGCACGCGCAGTATTGTTGGGGTACAAACGATCGCGAGGCCATCAAGCAATTTATTCATTTATTTCGTGGCCTTCTCGATCAACCGACGGATCAAGAAATTTAACTTTTAATGCGTCGTCTGTGATAACACTCCCATTCATGCTGGTGTGAAATAGGTGACACAGTTGTCGGGCTACTTTGGAGTGGAGCTCGCGAAACCGTCCCCATATTCACCAATTCTCAATCTTATAGGAATCTGCTCTCTGTTTTCAAGTCGGAGGTAAATAGTTTCCTGGCCGAGCACCGGGATGACATGCAGTAATTACATAGTCCAGTCACCTTCTCCAGATATACCACAGCATCGCTTGCAGTGGGATCAACCTTGGTTTCCTTGTGTATGCATCGTCTACCTGCACCATTCGAGTGACCACGCCGTTGTGAGCGGCAGTGCATCTCACACTTACCGAAATGCCTTCAAGGTAATTGCATTGGGGTCATAGAGTGGATTTACACTGAAACCACTTACTTTCCCGAGTATGAGACTATTTGGACATTGTGTTAATCGAACAACGATCCTAACGCTCCCTACTTTGCCCCTCTTTGCAATGCAACAGGAGAGTGTGATATAATCGTGGAGGCAGTAGTAAAGTACCCGGGCTTGGATGATGAACATGTATGGATGTGTAAGCGTTGTAACATTAGTTTGTCAAAGAGAGAAGTCCAGAAGTTCTGCAGGGCTAGTGGATATCGTATTGCTCTTGTTCCAGATGAATTGGCTGTACTGAATAGAATGGAGGCTCGGTTAATAGGTTTGAGTATATCATTTACAACCTGCGTTAGTCTTCATTGCGACTGACAGGAATCTACGCGCGGTAACTCTATCAACTACTGGAACAATCCTGTTGACACCGTGCTTGAGCTTCTGCGCCCCACAAGAACATGTGGCATAGCGTATCTCAAACCGAAAAATATTTCTGCTGGACAACTATTTAGAGTCCGACCCTATATTGTGCGTCGTGCGCTGTGCTGGTTAATAGAAAACAATACTCTTTATAAGAATGTGCGCATTTCTGAAGATAATTTAGCTGCATTGAAAAAGTTTGATGTCGAGAGCGATCTACCTTCCATATCATATACAGATGAAGAAGCCCAAGAGCTTGTCCTTCAGCAAAATGAAGTCAATAATGCCCACGTAAAACAAACTTTTCTTTTAGAAAGTGGCGATGAAAGTGACCACATAGGTTCCACGTCTTAAAATTGCAGGTCTGAGAATATTAATCTAGGAGTGCCCATATACACTACCCAAAGCCAAAATGATTCTCCTAGTGGACAATTAGATCCATCTGTAGAATTAGTGGGGTCTTTTGAGTTAGAGAGAAATGAAAATGACTCGAAAACCGAACTGCAGCGAATTTGCGAGGCAGAAAAAATGTGGTAAGTGGGGATTCGCAATACCCTGTAAAGGAATTGCAGCGCCACACTAATCCTATTGATGAGTGCAAGACGGAGTTGATCATGCAAAACTGTTTTCCAACTCTTTTCCCGAATGGAAAGGGTGGATTTAACATAATTGACAGTGAAAACAGACTGCATGAGTTCCATCTAGCAGAGTTCTGATGTCACTTTATGAAATGGCATGGCTGCCGTTTTGTTATACACCCCCACTTTAAGTTCTTCTGTATTAATCTCATTCAGAGACGACAAATAGATGGATTAGTCTGTCGCGTTTGCGATCGCAACAATGGATGAAGAGGTGCAGGAGAGAGAACAAGATAAAGATACAGCAAAAGCCATACAACTACTTGAATCGTTGAAACCTAACTTCGCGTTGTACGCGGTAGTGGCTGTACTGGTCCAACGTTCGAGATGATCTGATGTAGCCGAGTACTTCCAGCAAGATTTCCAACTTTTTTTCTTTCACTAAATGCTGCTGATACTGTTCGGCCGATTTTTTCAGGGCCTGCAATCCTGCATTGAGTCTAGATGAGTGTCGATATTTATCGTCGAAGGAAAGAAGGCACTATTTGAATGAAAATCCAGATATTGCTGCGCGATTTTTCCATCATTGCTTTCAAGCATTTGTTGATCACATCATATTTACCGTCGAAGGAAAGAAGGCACTATTTGAATGAAAATCCAGATATTGCTGCGCGATTTTTCCATCATTGCTTTCAAGCATTTGTTGATCACATCTTGTGTGGCCAAGATAAGCCATTAGGGGAGATTGAGGATTACTTTTGGCGTGTAGAAATTCAGCAACGAGGGTCTCCCCATATTCATGCTCTTCTTTGGATTAAAAATGCCCCACACGTGTTGGATCTCTCCAGTTCTGGGCAAGGTAGAGTTGAATTAGCG